CAAGCTCTTAGCAGCTAGTTTAAAGGCATTGCTTACAACTTGTCTTGCTGGAACAAGCACACAACAGCATTGCAAAGAATTGCTTTGTATTGGCTGAGAAAGCTGAGGGGCAAATATAAAAAAAAAGATGGGGGCAGGGAAAATGATCTATTAAGTTGGGCAGGGGTGGCCAACTTGTGGCATGGGTCCCACAGGTGGCACAGGCAGCCTCTGTGTGTGGCAAGCAGCAGAGGAAACAGGCAGCACAGCATCAGATAAGGCCGGAAGCAGAAAGCAAAAAAGCAGCAAATTGGGCAGAGAGCATAGGCAAAGAAGCAGAAAGCAGAGCAGCAGATCAGGAAGGGGATCAGAGTATCACTTGGAGAGGGTGTGGGCTAATTTGTGGTTTGCCTGCCAAAAAGTTTAGCCTTGACTGAAGTAGGAGATGGTGGCAGGAAACTCAAGTTCACACCAAATATTGTTCAGCTCTAACTCTGATATAGTCAGTGATATCATCTGGTTCCCTGCTCTTGTGTGCGATGAAAGATAAGTGGGTCCTGTCAACCAGGATGGTGAAACTTGCTCCAGCTAGGTCCTTAACAAATATAGCTGTTGCCAAGTTACCTCTAGGAAGTGGCAGGGATGTCTTCCCAATCAAACATACCTCTGTTGATTCCAATTATAGCAGCTTCCTTCTGTGCTGAGAAACAACATTGCTCCAGCCATCTTATAGCCTCATTAGGTTACACCTGAAGACATCCAATTTCACCAGGCTATGTCTAATTTTTATTCTCTAATAATTTTATTTAATAGGCTGTGCTGAACTCTTAATTATTCCCTCCCCCAAATGACTGGAGATACTGACCTTTTGCGCAACAGGGTCTGCCTGTAGCATGTCACAGCTCTTGGAGAGTAAAAGTGCCAACTTCCTTATCCTTGGCCTAAATTTGGCCCCTTATTATAAAATAATTTCAGGGGGAGTTACTTCTGTAAAACATTCCAAAGGTTTGATGCATGTGGTTCTGTTCATTCCAGTCATACATGTCAAATATGTAGTGATCGGCCTGTTCACCTCTTCAGCTCATCGGGGGTGAGGTGTGTCTGTTCCACAAAGTGAAAGTAAAGGGGTCTGTGCAGAATTTCTGTTCAAACAAATTGATGCAAATATGCCTGCTTGTCTGTGGATACAAATAGTGAATGCTGGGCCTCAGAAACCAGTCATGGAAAGTTGTAACGCCATCCAGTGAGTGACAGACACTCTCTCTCCCATGCATATTCTGTATGTATATCTATTAGTGAAACAGAATTGTTATATTGGTAAGTTTCTGTTTTTCATCCAAGAACTGTCTAACTATTTACAAATATTAACTGGAGAGAGGAAACTTTTTATTACTGTAGCACAGGGGTTCCCAAAATGTGGTTCGTGTAGCCTTGGGGGTATGCAAGACATCTCTGGGGGGTACATGGGAGAAATTGTGTAATGGTGGATTTAATTTTCATTATAATAATAATTGGTTTTTAAGGCGTTAAGATATAAAACATATGGTGGTAGGGGTACATGGGCAGCAGGTAGATCTGGAAGGGGGGACGCAATAAGAAAAGGTTTGGGAACCTCTGCTGTAGCAGCATAAAGCCCCAGATGAGCCCCATTCAGCTAGGTGCTACCAAAACAAGCTGCATATCACCATTTCTATACTAAAGCTCCTGTGCTGGCAGTGCTTGTAACAGGTAAATAAAATAACCCAGTGGTCTTCTGCTTCATCAGCCCTTTTAATTAATGGGGTTTAAACAAAACCAGGCCACACTTAACTTGAAGGACAAAAATAAAAACTGCATAAAAGAACTTAAGGAAACTGCTTGGTTTGTTGTGCGCAGTAACCATAGAAGGCACAGAACGCAGGCAAGCATCTGTCTTTAAAGACCGACAGCTGGGACCGACAACCCAGGCAACATTACAAAACCAGTGTGTCATGTGCTTGAAGCATGTGCTTCAAGTGAGTGTATCAAGTCTGTCATCTGCTGGCTTCTCAAACTCTCTGTTCTCATTCTCAGGCTCTTTCTTAAAGCTCTGGGGTGAAGACTGTCGGCACAAATTCTACAGCATGGACAAAGCAGGAGCCCATGGTCCTTTGGGAATCCCGGCTGCAAAGCTTCTTGCCTCCTTTAACCTTCATAGGCAGGGGCTGGACTCTGGAAGACCCCTGGAGGTCCCTCCCCACCCAACTTCTCTATGACTTCTTTTTCTAAGTCCACTTCAGTTTTCCTTTAGAAGGAAAGAGAGAGCCGTGCCTGACAACTGGCAGTCAGAAAGAAATGCCTACTCTAGAACTCTTGGTTCAGAGATGATACCTTTTATTAGACCAATGAAGAAATTGCAAAAAAAAAATCTTTTTCTGCAAGCTTTTGGGCGCACACGCCCTTCCTCAGGCTCAGTCAGTCTGCAGCTGGCAGTCAGTCACCTAATGCCCTGGGGAAAGGTGCTGAGGATTTCTGGTGCACCTAGGAGCTGAACTGAACACAAAGTAGGCCCAACGCTGCTACCGAGATTTTCAGCTGGAGCCGCCCAGTCCTTTACCCAGCAAGCAGCCAAGCCAGCTTCACTGATAAAGGAATCAAGCTCCCGGCTCTTTCCCAGCCAGTGGGAGCACACACCTCACATGCTCCAGGGGCTACAGTAGCACCTCGGGGTGGGTCTCCCAGAGGTCTTTCATTTTTATTATTATTATTATTATGAAAAGCCTGGATTTGTTTTTGCTCTGATCTTAACCTGAATAATAGAGTGGAGAAGCTGGAGGGAGTGCAGAGGAGAGCCATGCGAATGATTAGAAGACAAGAGGGAGAGGCTGAGAGGCATGGCACTCTTCAGCCTGTGGAAGCGCAGGGTCAGGGGTGACTTGGTGGCAGCCTGTAACTACATAAGGAGTTTGCACCGAGAACTGGGAGAACATTTGTTCAAGAGAGCACCCCATGGGAAGACTAGGTCCAATGGTCACAAACCATTTTCAGCTGGCCATAAGGAAAAACTTTACCGTCTGAGTCCCCAGGGCCTGGAATAAACTCCCCCCAAAGGTGGTGCAGGCACCTACTCTGGATGTCTTTAAGAACCACTTGCATGCCTATCTTACCGGGATCGTCTGACCCCTGCACCCCTTCATCTTGCTGGGATCGTTTCACCCCCTGCTGACTGCCTGCCCCTGGGGCAGGGGGCTGGACCCGATGATCTTGCAAGGTCCCTTCCAGCCCTAGTGTCTATGAAAACGATAGGGCGAGACCCCCTAGCATATTAGTAAAGCTTCTGGTTTCTTTTTAACTTGGAGAAAAATTGTCGCGTGTCACACGTGAGCGTGTCACCCGCCCCAGGGGTAGGGGGGGG